CGGCCCAAATGAAACCCAAAAATCGGTTCGCAACGCGCGCAGTTGCAGAGGCCGGCCGAAGTGCGGTCGAGGTGCAGTCGAGGTAGAGCTGAGGCTAGCCGAGCCGAGCTTTACGTTGCTGCGCATGGGTGAGGGAAGGGAGGGAGAATACAGTAATCGGGGACTGGCAGGACATTGAAGGCAATAAGTCAGGCTAGTAGCCATGTCCTGGCCCACAGCACTCAAGCAGCGTCACAGTTGTGGAAAAATTACAAATCAGTGTGCAGAGAGCAGCCCCCCTCACTCCCCAAAAAATATAATAACAAGTGAGTCCCTCACAATGTTGATCCAACAGCATTAATTCCCCTTTAATAATCACTCTGCCACTAAGGAATATACGGGTATCACCAAGACCAACGAGGATTTACAAGCGCCACTGAGAGTAAGAAGATTAACAACAGAGCCCACAGAATCGTGATAAAATAAATTTTTCTCTTTTATGCCATATTTTCCTACTGTTTTTAATTTCGCAGTTATCAAATCTACCATTAATCAAGGTTCAATAAATCCTATCTTAACCGCTACGTCTACACAATTATCTCGAATTTCTGCAGTTCTAGTCTTCGGACTTTGTATGCGAACTTGAAAGATTCGCCCTATCCAGACGTCCTGAAAAATTTTCCCGGAACTCTAGAATAAAGTAAATCTCAGTGTCGTGTTGCTGTTGCTCGTGGAAGGATCAAAAAATCAAACATTTTGAAACAATGAATGCACACCCAAAAATTTCGCAGGAAGCAAAATCCTATGGTAAAAGCAGTCGAAAAATGAAACAAACATATTCGATGCGTTCATTGTCATAAATCCTTGCAGAAGTTTGCATTCTTGTATTCGGTTCTATGAATCCTAGTAATCAGCACATCTCCCAGCGTTACATTATTTTTTGACGCCACAAATGCATCATCACTGCGACGAGAAAGAACCAACGAACATGTTACAGGACCCTTAAACAAATGTTTGAATTTTTCGCACAGTTCGAAGACTGGGGTGTTAAATTGCAGACTTCTGGTTTCAAAAAATGCAAACGAAATCGCTTTAAGCAGTAAAACACTGTAATGATTTTACAGTTATACTGTGAGTACCGAGACCACTTGGATAATCGGTGTGGGCACCTCCACATAATCGACCAAAACATTCCTATTCAAATACTTTTCTCCAGTGATTCTTAATAAATTTCATGTGTAATTAATGCCATTCTTCCTTTATTCAAATCTTCAGTTCCTCAATCCTTACTATTTTTATTCCTTTATTTAGGGTTAGAGAGAAAATATTAGCAAAAAACGATGAAAGGGTTCTAAAGAATTATTTAAGTAGGTAAGAAATGTTTCGGTCCATTAA